TGCCTTGATGGAGCTTACACGTTAGAGATGGTGGTGGTGGTAGTGATGTCGCATGCACGCGCGTGTGTGTATGTGTGTCTGTCTGTGTTGGGGGAGTGACAGATAATAAAAAGAACTAGTTATGTGTGTGGTAATGGGATTGGTATAGAGGGTATCACATAGCTAGTGGCTAAACAAAGGGGTAGTTCCTAAGCCCCTATGTGAGTAGTGGGTCCAGCAACTTGGTGTAACAGCAAGCATCAGAAAATGCAATTCCATACCAAGGTAAGATCTCAGGAGTTGCTACTTGAGGAAAAGATTTTACATTCAAGACAGAAGTTAGCTAATTTCAGGAAAGAGGCGGTTCACCAGAAGACCTTTTGGATATTTGGAATTCACCAGTTGCAGCTAGAAGCTGGCACCGGGCTTCAAAGTTGTTGAATCTTAAAACACTTTTACACAGTTACAAAAATGGGCTTGGACAGGATACAGGGAGGTAATTAGCCACTCTAAACCGGTACCAGCCTGCTCACACTACTTAATAAGGCCCCTTCAGGGAGATGCATGAGCGGGGAGGAGAATGAGAAGGAGAAAAGCAATAATATCTAAAGGACCAAGTCCCAGTGACCCTGTGAGCCTCGCACCACTTCCTCTGCTGCCTTGACTCGCATAGACCTTAATGCAGAGAGTCTTTAGGTCAAGCCTGTGGGTCTTGGGGTACTGTGTTCCAAGAAGGAATTTGGCTGACTAATGTTAGCGGCTGAGTGAAATCTAAAACAACGAGCAGGAAGAGATCTCTGTCTACAATCGAAAACAGTTCCCCATAGTAGGGATCAGAAAATCACTCCATGTGAATGATTAGTAATGAGATGAACATCTCTGTGGGAGATGCTAGATCTTCCCTAGCATGAAAAGTAAAATGATAGCTCCCAATCCCACTCTCGTCATCAAGGTTAGAACAAATTGGACTTGCTTTTGAATGGTGCATGGGTCCCATTAAGAGAAGGATGCTAGCCAGGAATGGGATTCCTGACCCTTTACCGGTGGTAAGGTGAGGAGGTTTTGGACTTGTGTTACGGGGGGTGCTCAGCACAGTCTGATTGCTTTGTTGAAACTAACTCTGAAGAGTCTGAGAATATAGGGTGAACAGTTTTCCTGGCTTTGACAATGTGGGTCAAACAGTAAGATGAAGTCAGAGCTCCGGGGTAAGGAGGGAGAGGCGTACACGTGAAGGAGGGAGACAAAGTGACAAAATGAAGGGCGTTCGGGCACCTGTCTGAGAGCAATCAGATTGGAACTTTAAGTCAGTGTTTCTGCGATGTGATAAAAATATTTCGCTTAGGTCAGTTATTCCAATACCGCTCATTTAGAGTGAAGGCCATTCCACAGCCTAACATGCGAGGCCCTCTGACTCGCAGGCTTTGTCTCCTCCTCCCGTCTCAATCTCGGCCACTTCCTTCTTCTCACTGTGTACTCCAGCAACAGTAATACTGGTTGACACCAACATCACTTATTCCTAAATTTCCCCACAGTCCACTAAAAGACATCAAATCTTCTTTAATATAATCTTCTTTGCTTTTTTGATGCTTATAGGAAAAATTGATCATATATCTTCTGTGCTAAATTTCTATCATATATTTTCATCTTTGACTTTACATTGTTTTAAAATTGTCGTTGGGGTTGCTTTTTCTGGTAAGACCCATCAAACTTTTGAGGAAAGAAGCCATGTTTTATTCAGCTATATTGCTCTAATGCCTGCTATTTTTACTGGTAAATGGTATTTTGGGTTAAATTAAAGTTTTGATCACTTATGTACAAATAGTCAAAGATGACTTATTGAGACAGAGCTATGTCAGCTTTTTGCTGAGATGCTGAGTGTGGTTTCTGGGGAGGGAGCTTGGCTTTGCCTCTATAACAATTCACTGAAAAACATAAGCTAAACGCTCTTTTTGCGTTTGCCTTTTTTTAATAAAAGCAAATATCCTCTTGAGATTTCTTGTGGTTAGCAAACACAGGTACTAATGTAGGTCTTTTGTAAAATGAAGTGACGTAAAGTGAACTTTCAAAAAGTGGTGGAATATATGTACGTAAATTGTTTCAGAGAAGGAAAAGTAATCCATCACCTGAACTATTGAGGGAAAGAATATATTGGAGAAAACAGAGCTGAAGGACGATAGAATTTGATAATTATAGGGAAAGGATATTTTATTTTACCCCTAAAGTATACTTTTTAAAGAATCAACTGCATGTGCATATAAAGCAAATGAAGGATTAGCTTGACCGAAGATAGCTGTAGCTAGAATAGGATTGATTTCGCAGTCTCGGAAGTCATCTATTATTTATTTTTTACTAAAATCTTATGAAAGAAATGTTAGTAAAATTATTCTGGTAGCAGAATTCAAGATGGACTAGCATATAGAAAGACTACCATATAAACAAAATAGAAGAATACATGAAACATGCAATGATACACAAGGAAATTAGGCAAAGGCAGTGGCAATGGGAATGGAAAAAATGAGCAAACATAAAAGACATCCTAGATTAAGAAATTACTGAATGAACGTGACTGACAAAAAGATGAGATTTAGAGAATCACAGAGAGGGTAGGATGACAGGTGTTTAAACATGCTTACTTCGTTAAAATAAAACAAAAACCATAATGAGTAAGAAGGAACATGTTTGGTGGGCATTTAAAACTTGAGGTTTGTACCTGTTGTTGCATATAAATTGATTAGAAACAAGAATACAGGACCACATTTGGAATTTGGAAACTTCCTCACTTTTCACAAATGTTGAGTGAACATCACGCTAAGGTAAAATGAAAAACTCTTGAGTTCTTGGCATATTTTGGTATCTTGCTATATAGCTGAATATTGTACAAAGCACCAATGTGCTCTTAGGCATTTTTGAAGTCTTGAGACAAAATTCTCAGGAAATAGACACTTAGGAACTTTTTTTTAAAATGTCTCCAATATTGACTGTGATGATTACTTTTGTTTATTCTAAACAATGCCAGATAGTATCTGAATTTTAAAATACGTGGTGGAATGTTGCTGATATCCATCAATGGTATCCACCAACTATGTTAGTGGTCTTTCTCCCTTTTTTTAAATCGTAACCCAGAAGACGTAGGTGAAGAAAAGATCACTCGTTTTATTTTCTTGAACAAATGATCCTACAAGAGCAATATATATCAGAATAAATTTAAAAAATAAAAAAGTAATGATTAATTCGAGTTTGGATTTTATAGTGAAAATCATGCTCCATATTTAGTTTTTTATGTTAATGCGTTATCAAAAATGAATCTTGCTAAAGTATCATTGTTTTCTGAACGAGAAATACATATTTTTTTCTAGTCTTACATTAGAAACGACGCCACTGCGGCGGCTCCGTCATTTAGCTTTAAAGTCTTGATACTCGGGACAGTTCAGAGACCAACAGAATTTGCATCGCTCGGAAGCGTTTTAGAAATGTAGAACTTCCAGTCCATTCCAAGATACTGAATCAGAATCTGCTTTCAAACGAGATCCCGATGTGATTCTTATGTGATTAAAGTTTGAAAAACACTAAATTAGCCTTATATACACCGGTCCAATTCAATTTTGCAGGTGATATTCCTTAAGATGCATTACGATTCCTATTTTAAGGTTTGATGTGAATGCTGTTAACGAATTTAGTGCTAGAAGAAATGAAACCAATGTTACTCAAAACCTATTCAGTGCCCTATATTAGACATTTCCAAATCTATGAATTCCTTTAACACAGTACTCTCTGAGATAAGGGACAATATCTCCAAATCTCTGGGCAGGGAAACCAGCCTCAGGTTAAATACCTTATCTGTTCCACACAGTCAATCCATTCGATAAATGGGGAGCATCCCATTTCTGCAAGTCCCGCGTTAGGCCTGCAAGTAAAATGGGCACGGTCCCCACGGTCTTGGAATTGCAATAATAGATTGTAATGAGACAAACGCTACGAAATACGAGGTAGCGTAAGTTCTAAGAGGGGAACTTAGACTTGGAGAGGCTGTTTAGGAAAAACATATTTGGAAAAAGCATCTAGACTGATGTCTGAGGAACACGTTGCTTGTAAAACTGGCCCTGGAGAAAAAGGTGAGTGTGTCGTGTTTGAGAAGGGGAACAAGTAGCAGCGGAGGCTGGAACCTGGTAGGAATCCTGCAGAATTTTGTAGAACGAGGTGCTGATGTGGGAACTGGCCCAGAGTGGAAGGAAGCGAGGCAGTGACAAGCCCCAGGCACCTTGGCGAGGCTCCACCAGCCAGACCCGAGCCCAGCCCCGCGGGCGGGTGGGTTACAGGGCCACTCCCCTGGGCCGCCTCTCTCCACCCAAGTCGCCGCCTCCCGCCTCCCGGCCTGGCGGCTGGAGAGGGGTGGGAAACGGGGGAGAGGGGCGGGGGGTGGGAAAGAAAAACATTCCGAAAAAAATATT